TGTTGTTTTGAAAAAACAACATATTACCAGTGCATTCTCTACCTAAAAGTTTGGTAACACGATGTATAGAGAGACACTTGTTGGTTGCTGGAAGGTGGGGAAAAGAATAATCGACAAATCGCTACACTTTGAATGTAATGGATGCTAAATTTGGAAATTTTTGAGGGTTTCATGATGGCCTTTTTGGTTGCTTTTTAGATTCTATGAAGCTTGTTTCATTGAAGTGGCTGTAGTTGTAGTGGAAATGGCTCTCCAAGTATATCTCCTTCAAGCTGTGTTTGGATTATGATTTTGGTAGGAATATAAAAATGAAAAGGAAAAAGAAAGGATAATGTAAGTGAATATAAGTTGATTTTTATTTATTTATTTTGAAATTTTTATCTAAATTATGATCTAAATATATCATCAATGTGGTTACAAGGGAACTTGGGGATGTGTAATCTGTTGCTTGACATTGGGGAAAGTAAGATTAACCTGGGATGAAGTGCAGGGTAGCTAGTGTTTGGGTCATTGGGCGGGGAAGAATGAATCATTCCTATTCATTCATAATAATTCGCAGGAATAATTTTATTTATTTTAGTGACCTAAATAGACCATGAAGACTTGTACAAGCCAGACGTAATTTAAAACAAATTATACCAAACAATCCAGTACTAAATTTTAGAGAGGAAGCGAGGAACTTTGAAGGAATTGTTTTAGAGAGGGATTGGAACACAAGGAATTTGATGAGGGAAACACAAAAGAAATTGCATTTGATTAATTGAATTTTAGAGAGGCGAGAGAGGAGCTTTGAAAGGAATTGCTTTAGAGAGATTGAAACTAAAGAAAATTGATGAGAGAACTTGAAAGGAATTGCATTTGATGTATTAAATTTGAGAGAGCGAACTCAAGGAAATTGACGAGGAACTTGACCGGAATTGCATTTGATGTATTAATGATTTGTTTGGTGGAATTGAAAACAAATAATAAAAAGCCAAGTTAAAAGCATTAATTTCTTAACTTTTCAAGTATCATGAACTTTTTAAAGTTTTTTTTTTGATCATAAATTGTAAGCCAAAATTGTACATAATAACACAATTGTCAAATATATATACATTAAAAAAGGGAAATAACTTGATAGTGAAGTCATAAAAAAAAAAAAATACAAAATACAAATAGTAATAAATATTATTAATAATTAAAATTACAAATTTTACCATGAATTAGTAATTTTTTTTTGGCTGCTATCACTGGACAGTAATTTTTCCTTTTAAAAATAGAATAAATTATATTAACCTAACCTCCCTTGGGATTTAGAAAAATATATTAAGGCGTGTGTTTGGCAAGTTGGGTTTGGAGCAAAAATAGTCAATACAAACAAAGATTCCATCAATGCTTCGCGTGACCACTGAAGGTTTGTCCCCCACAATATATAAAAGATGAAAAAAGCCCCTCAAGTCAAAGTAGCACTACATATACTAGAGGGTTAGTCCCTTCCATACCAACTCCAGTCATATCATCAACGATTCAAAGCTCTAACCTCATCAGGTGGATCCTTTAAGACTACGCTGTTCATCCTAGGGCACTCCCATGTTTGCTAGCTTATCAGCAACTCTATTTCCCTCTCTAAAGGTGTGGCTGAGAGAGCAATTGCATCTTTTCAAGAGGAACTTTGAATCATCAATAAGGGCCTTGTGAGGAGAGTTGTGGCTTGGGCTATTTTGGATCTGGTTGATGGCCTGCTCAAATCTGTCTCATCTCTAAATCCATTTTGCCTTTCTGAAAGAGGATGGTAAGGCCCTGTAGATGGCCCATAGTTCAGCTTCCAAGCTTGAGCCAGTGTCCTAGCTTGCCATAATATCCCCATATCCAGGTTCCAACTTCATCCCGCAACAATCCTCCATAACCAGCTCGTCTTAGGTCACCTTTAGAGCATCCATTTGTGTTAAATTTCAATTTCCTGCAGATGGGAGACATCAATTAATTAGTCTACGTTGAGATGGGTTGGGGTGGATAGGGGATTTGAAAGTCTGATCAATCTCTTGAACATTAATTCCCTATGTTCTTGAGACTGTTTGAATGGGATTAGCCAAGTTTTCAGAAACCATTTTGTTGCGATCCTTCCAAATCTGCCAAAGGTTTACAACAAAAATGAGGTACATTTGTTGCCAAAAAATAAGTTTTTATTTTTCATATTGAAGTAAACCATTCCAATCCTTGCACCACCAATTATGATTTCATAATTCAGTCTAGACTTCTTGGATTTGGGGCAATCCTTGAGGAGATGGCTCATATTCTCACTAAATAGCCCACATTACGACATAGATCAGAAGTTGCCGTGTTCCTCACAAGCCACAAATGGTTAGTAAGCAACCTTTCTCTCAGAATAAGCTAGAGGAAAACTCTCAGTTTTTTGGAGAATTTTGATCTTCCAGATCCATTTCCAATCTCTGTCACCTCTTTTCTGATTGAATATGATTTTATAGGCAGATGCTGTTGAGAGTTGCCATAGAGGACCCCATCCAGGAAGGAGCATCAGTGTAGGTCACATATCTAGGCCTATTAATCTTGAGATTCTGAGGTCTTGGGGGTTTGGTGGATTTAGGTTAGCAAAGATATTAGTGTCCCAGTTCCCTCATCATCAAGTACCAGAGCTAATCTTTTCTGAGTCATTAACTTGTGGGTGTTATAAGTTGGGCTAGAGGCTACTTCCCACCACCATCATTCCGAAATGAAATGATTCAATCATTACCAACTCTTTCACTTAACACATTTCTAATAGTGTTTCTGTTTTTACAGATACTTTTCCAATGGTTTGAGGATTTCTTTTTTTGGTCCAGCTAAAAAAGGAATTGTTTTTTTTAAAATTTGGATTTGAAGCACTTTGCAATAGATTGTTACTATCATTCAGGATGTTCGACCCCAAGCTAGTGAGAAGGGCTGTTTTTGGTCCCTGGCCTTTCTCATGCCAAGACCTATCTTCTTTACTCTTGCACACAGTATCCCAGTTGACTAGATGAACTTTTTTTGCTATTTTGCATCTCCCATAGGAAGTTCCTTTGAGTCAATTTCTACAAACTTTCCTAAGAGCCCATGGTTTGGCATGTGTAGGCTGGAAAGGTAGAAGGTGACTGATTGAGTGTAAGGGAAATCTCTCT